ATTTTTGATCTCGCAGCCATTGCCTTTTCGTTCATTTCTTATATATATATTTCGTATAAATTTTGACCGGATATGTGGTACAAGTCTGCTGGGAACTAACCCACAAAGCAGTACACACGAAACCCATACAAGGACACAACTGGTACCTAACAATAGGTGGAATAATAAACTATGGTCTTCACAAGGTCCCAATCATCTTTTATCTCCTGCGTCCCTGTCAGCTTTGAAAAAACAGCTGGTAGGGATGTTAACACTCCTAAACGACTAGTGCTGGCTCCCCCTTTGCATGAATACAGGAACAGCCTAGTTCGCCCGCATCCATTAAGCACACTTGATACATGCGCAAGTTTAGGTCAAATAAAGATATCTACCCACGTTTCTAGCTTAAATAAAATTAAAAATGCCTTAGCCTATAGCAAATCCAGTACTCCAAAGCCCAATTCTTCACCGAAAACAGCACACACCAACTCGATAGACATAGATGAGCATGATGCTGAAACTCCTCTTAACATAGGGTCGTCATGTCAAACAGTACTACTGGGTGCTGAACCATATTCGGGGCTGATTAACGAAATTAAATACTTCAAATGCTACTTCAAACTCATCTTTACCTGATCCTCATAAATGCTAGATCTGTTCTAAATAAACTACCGATGCTCAGAGCACTCACAGTAATATACAAACCCCCTATAATTGTCATCACTGAATTCTGGTGTAACTCGAACATACTGGATGAAGAGATAAGCTTAGATAACTATACACACTTTCGGTGTGACAGGGAAGGTGGTAAGGGAGGGGGTTGTCTTATGTACTTTCTGAATGCACTTACTGTATCACAGCTAGAAAGTAGTACACTTAACATGCCTGAGACTTTATGGGTTAACTTACACTTAAATAACGCAATAGTATTAATTGGATGCACCTACAGAGCACCTGGCACCTTTAGTAATTACGAGACCCAACTTATTAATACTCTGGAACAATTATCCACCCTCCACTACGATCATAAGATCCTATGTGGAGACTTTAACTTACCAGAAATCAACTGGGATATACCCACAGGCCCAACTAAATTTGATAAGTTCTTAGGCACACTGGATATACTTGGCTGGAAACAGACTGCCACAACCCCTACAAGAGGTAATAACGTACTAGACTTAATCTTCTGCCACAATACAAGTCCCCTTTCTACCCTAATAGGTTCTGAGTTTCCAGGGTGTGACCACAAAACAGTGCTGTGTGCACTGCCACTTCCGTCAAGTAGCAATGCAGCCCATACCCCTACTTCACAACAAATAACTTACAGGAACTACAGTAAGGCAGACTGGACTCTAGTAAAGTCAATGCTAAGATCCTCAGAATGGAGTGAGTACTTCTATACTCATAGCCTCTCGAAAGCTCTAGACATCTTTTACTATAACTCCAACACATGCTTAGATGCTGTCATCCCATTTCAAACACTAAAGTTTTCCCACATAGAAAGACATTCATAAAGCCAAAGGATCGTAGGAAACTGAAGAGACTGTCAACAAGTTACTTCAGATGACACGACTTTAGTACACTAGGGTCAATACTTAGTACTCTTAGCTCCATCTCGCAAGCTCATAACTTGCGTATGAGAAATGAAGAATGCACCGCACTAGCCAGCACCACCAGAGTAGGTGCTCTCACAGAAATCCTAAAGAAACGAATGAATCGCCAAAGCTATAAAATTTCTCTCCTTATAAACAAGGGTAAACTATACAGCAACCATGCAGACATGTGTGAACTGTTCAACGAGACGTTTGCAGCCAACTACCTTAAGCCCAAAAGTCCACTTCTCGGTTTACAATCTAAAATACAACTCCCTTCTTCTTCAACGCTGAAACAAATCACTACAGTTCATTTCACTTACTCTAATATTAACCAAGCCGTTAATACTCTTAAAAGCTCTAGTAGTGCCGGTTTTGACGGCACACCATCGTATCTTTATAAACACGGTGGTTCTGACATTTCCGTTTTATTACTTAAGATCTTTACAATGTCCCTAGAAAGCCAAACCTATCCAGATAAATGGAAAACGACATTTATAGTACCTAAACACAAATCCGGATCAAAACTGAAGTCAACAACTATAGGCCAATCAATATTACACCCATAGTATCTAGAATCATTGAACGAATAGTTAAAGATGATATTCTCAAACATATGCTCAGCTGCAATATTCTAAGTCCCAACCAACATGGATTCCTAAAATCCAGATCATGCATGACATGTCACCTTGACTTCTTTAACTATATAAGTAGCAGCCGAGACAAACAACAACTAGCACTAGTCATCTACTTTGACATCTCCAAAGCCTTTGATCGTGTTGACCATTTGCTTCTAATAAATAAGCTGAACTCTTTAGGAATACGTAACCCATTATTAGGATGGATTGAATCATTCCTTAACAATAGGTCCCAAGTAGTTAGACTGGGGTCTGCCAACTCCAAATCCAGTCCAGTCACTTCTGGAGTAGTTCAAGGTAGCGTCTTAGGCCCCCTTCTATTCACTCTGTATGTCAACGACATATGCAGCTGTTTCTCACTTGGTAAACCATTCATCTTTGCAGATGATCTTAAAGTAGCTTACACATTCCCCTGTGATAACTTAGGATACTTTCAGAAAGCTGTTCAGGAAGAACTAGATAGAGTAACCGCATGGTCCTCCACATGGAACCTAAAATTCAACCTTAAAAATGTGGTTGGATCCGTTTCGGTGCACCCTCAATAAATATCAAACTGGTACTTGAATCTATTGACTTGCCTAAACTCCAAAGTGTTGTTGACCTAGGACTCAGGTACTCTAGTGACTTGACATTTTCCGAGCAAGTGGCGACACAGACGCGTAAATCGAGGATGCTCCTAGGATGCATACTCAGGGATTTCCACAACTACGAAGCGAAACTATTATTATATAAAACTCGTGTCAGACCACTACTTGAATATTGTCCATTTATTCTCAGCAGCACTCGCGTAAGTGACAAACTTAAAATAGAAAGTGTCCAACGATACTTCACGTCTAAACTACTAGGGACTACACATCAAGGTGTATAACTCTAGGTATCGACCCACTCTGGATGAGACGACTGAGCATTAACCTAACATTCTTCTTTAAAATCTTGCATAAAATATCATTCTCAGACAGCAAGGAGATACAGTTCTCACCGGAAGGCTCTTACAACCTTCGTAACCAAACGTGCAAAGTATCTAGGAGAAACTGTAAAACAGCACTCCGTGCAAACTTCTTCATTGTCATGTACTCTAAGATCTGGAAGAGATTACCCCCAGAAATAAGGACCTGTCACTCTATTATAGCCTTCAAACGCTTGCTATACAAACTGCTTCATCCCAATGACTATGCCAATCACACCGCACCACTTATTTCTAGAACGCATGAGCTATTAGAACGATATAACGCCTAGACTCATTATTAAATATTACGACACTAAATAAACTCTAAGACTTCGCAAAATTACATGAAAAACAACTAGATTGTGGGTAGTGTTTACTATACAATGATATACATTTATAAACATTTATATATACATAAAATATCAATGTTCTTCCCATATTTACATACTTTCTCTTTCTGGGATTCTACTAATGAGGCTGCACTTGTATATACCTCCTGGTCGAGGTCGAACAACCCAACATTTAAACTGAAATGACCATTTAAGTAAATTCAAACTCAAATTTCATGAACGATCCGATGCTACCATTTGAAAACGCTGGCCAACATTCTGTACAAGGAGAATTCTTGATCTGAAATAAAGAAGCAACTGGTTTTCAAACAGTTTTCAATGTATTAAATAAATAAATAAATAAATTTATTCTCATAGTACAGTACATGAGGGACGCCAGTTTACAGGCATCATCAAATTGTTACAGAAATAGAACCATATAATTCAATCACAATTTACAGGCAGTAGCAAGATATGCTTTACATGTTCGCTGGAGATTATACATACACTTGATAAATGTTAATCCCAGTGGTATAAAACAGCCTTTTCACTTATATACAATCACTTCTGCGCTAAGTTGGGAAAATCTGCTAGATTGTCAGTGAGTGCAACACAACAGGAAATACAGGAGTATTGTCTTCGCATTAACAAAAATACCAGGTCTTTGGTGGATGGATTAAAAGTGCCTGGGAAAAAAATAAAGCTTGAAGTCAATTTACATACAT